AATATGTGAGAGGAGTTTTCTCTCGACTTGCGTGAAATTACTTTTACAATTTTGATCCAAACAAGTCTTAAATTTCTGTTTATAGCTTATTGTAACTTTTTATATCAAATTCAAAATAACCCAAACACTACAATTTTATGGATAGCACATTTTCCCATCCAATGGCAAGTCTAGGATGCCTAAACTCCCTCACAAACAGACCAAAAAAGAAGTCAGCTTTATTAATCTCAAAAAACCACAATACAAACACCGTTATCCAAAACGAGGGGGCAAAAAAAAAAAAAAAAAGCCACTCAAAAAGCTTACACGCACAATCTAACACGCAGCTAAACCAGAAAAACAAAACTATACCTATAGCAGTCGAGAAAAAAATAACCAACTATTTATCTGTTAAAAAAAAACTGAAACAAATTATACGGATTATAACTATAACTATATAAGCCGAACAAACTAAGCTACTCCTCCGGTCCTTATTATAAGACCCAATTTAACTTTTTATTTAGTCCTAATTATAAGACCCAATCCATTTTTTCTATTATATTTATGCATTTTTTTCCAAGATAATCCTTCTAATAATGATAGTTTTAGCCAATATACTTAATTAGCAAGGATATTTTAGGAATCACAACACTTATTTATTATAAATAACCAACTTAACTTACTTCCTTAATCTCCTCAAATAAGTCAATTGGGTCTTATAATTAGGACCGGAGGAGTATATTCATTGGTATTTCCTGGTTCCTATTAAGAGCTAGTTAGATATTAAATTTGATTTTAAATATAATATCTCAATCCACCTTATTTTTAATATTTATTCATTTTACCCTTCAAATTATGTTTGGATATGTTAAGGAGTTTTTATAATCACGGGATAACTCAAATGCATACGATTAACAAAAGTATTTTAAAAAATTTATTTATTACAAATAACTAATTTAATTAATTTTTTTAATATTATCAAATTAGTTATCTAAAGACTAGAGGTGGTACAATTTGAAATCAGCAACCAAACACCCTCAGCCAATTCCACTTCGAATTCGTCCTTCTTCCACATTTGAGCTTCTTCCCTTTTCAGCAAAATCAGAAGCAACTTCCTCAGGCTTCCAGTTCTTCATATCATTAGCTAGAATCTTAGCCAAAAAGGGTGTTGATGAAGTTACCCACCCAATAGGGCACGCACACTCCTTGCCTACACTTTACAACAACCTTGTTCTTTCTTCTTGTCAGATTAGCATCAAGCTCTTTACTCACAGCTAACAGATTGCAATTCCCATCTATACCTCTCCATTCAGCGTTTTCAGTGAAATTTTTTTTTTCCTGCAACACCAAAACGCCTCTACACAGTCTGTTTCAATAAGAGCTCTCACAAATCTTCAGTACCTAACCAGAATAATAGTTTTAATTAAAACACATTAACCCAAGAAAATTAAAGAGATGTTGGATGAATCCATAATCTACAATGCAAAGATATTTACGACCTTAAAATAATTCCAAGTTCTGTTTTGAAGCATGTATCACTTTGAAGTGTTTGCTTTTTAAAAAGAAAAAAAAAAAAAAGAAAAGGGGGAAAAAAAAAAGCAGTGTCATTTTTAAACTGTGATTGGATATTTACGACCTTATCCGCATAGCTCGCGGTACTTGTATTTGTATTTTGGGGCTTCAAAATGAAATAAGGGAAAATGGAACCTCTAGTCCTTATAGTTTTAGGTAGTTTTGGTTCTAGTATCTGATGTTTAATATTTTTGAAGCAACTCCCTAAAAGTGTTTCTGTCTGCACCGTTACTCTCTCCACTTTCAAATACTACCTCTGATTCTTAATATAATAGTTAATTTAAATTTTAATTTGGTCTTAAATATAAGATTCTAATTCACTTTGTTTTTCAAATTTATTCATATTTTTTAAAATAATTTTTATAATAATTGTATATGTTAAAAATTTCATCAAATGATAGTTATAATTAATACACATGATAATAAAGGTATTCTATAAAAGACAATAATATACAAAACTAAAAACAATCTTTAGAAATAACTTCACAATCTTTACTATCTTATACTCAAATTAGTTAAACAGTTTTTACGTTAAGAACAAAAGATAGTATTGTTTTGAGGACTGATAGCTGGCACTAACGCTGTTAAATTTGCTGACGTGTCTAACGGCACCTACATAACCAACATTTCCCAGCTGACATGATGGAAGTCTTCAAGTTGTCAATTTTTTTTAATTAAAAAAAGTAATTGAAACAAGGGAAAATTTTAGTTAAGGACCACAGAAGACAATTTATATCAATCAAGGACCAAAACTTTATGAAATTTTACTGCAGGACCAAGGGACCAAATTGAAATTAAAATTTAGAGTGAGATTACAATAATACCCCTTCCTTTTTATTTTATTAAAAAATAAATATTAATTGAAGATACTATTCTGGCCACCAGAGGTCGGAGGTCCAACCACCGGCGCTCAGGTGGCCGCCGCCGGGAGTCTAGCCACTGGTGGCCAGAACAATAGCTCCAGCCGGCCTTCGGTGGCCGGAATTTTTTTGTTTAAAAACAAAGTGGCCAAGAGAGAGTTTGAACCCATGACCCCTTGGCACACCAAAAAATTTACAACTACCAAGCCATGCAACCCATTCAAACATAAGATGCAAATAAAAATACATATAACAAAACAAACGCAACTATTTGAGTGTAAGTGAACAAGTGAAATTAGACGATTTACAAGTGAAATTCAGCAATTTACAACAAAAATTAGGTAATCTAAAAATAACATAATAGAAGTCATAATCCCAAATGCAAGTGTTTAAGTGCAAATGAGCAAGTGAAATTTGAAGATTTACAACAAAAGTCTATGGATTTACAACCCAAATTTGGCAAACACAAGAGAATTCACAATCCAAAATGTAAGTGTTTGAGTGTAAATAAACAAGTGAAATTCGACGATTTACAAGTGGAATTCAGAAGTTTACAACAAAAATTAGGCAATTTACAAATAACATAATCGAAATCATAACCTCAAATGCAAGTGTTTAAATACAAATGAACAAGTGAAATTCTTTTGCAAATCTATAAACTTTTGTTGTAAATCTTCAAATTTTATTTGCTCATTTACACTTAAACACTTATATTTAGGATTGTGAGTTCTATTATGTTATTTGTGAATTTTCTAATTTTTATTGTAAATTGTCGAATTTCACTTGCAAATCCATAAACTTTTGTTGTAAATCTTCAAATTTCACTTGCTCATTTGTATTTAAACACTTGCATTTGGGGTTATGACTTCGATTATGTTATTTGTAAATTGCCTAATTTTTGTTGTAAATTGCTGAATTCCACTTGTAAATCGTCAAATTTCACTTGTTTATTTACACTCAAACACTTACATTTTGGGTCGTGAATTCTTTTGTGTTTGCCAAATTTGGGTTGTAAATCCATAAACTTTTGTAGTAAATCTTTAAATTTCACTTGCTCATTTGCACTTAAACACTTGTATTTGGGGTTATGACTTCAATTATGTTATTTGTAAATTGTCTAATTTTTACTGTAAATTGCTGAATTCCACTTGTAAATCGTCAAATTTCACTTGTTCACTTACACTCAAACAGTTACATTTTAAGTTGTGCATTCTCTTGTGTTTTCCAAATTTGGGTTGTAAATTCATAAACTTTTGTTGTAAATCTTCAAATTTTACTTGCTCATTTACACTTAAACACTTACATTTAAGATTATGACTTTTATGATGTTATTTGTAGATTGCCTAATTTTTGTTGTAAATTGCTGAATTCCACTTGTAAATCGTCTAATTTCACTTGTTCACTTATACTCAAACCGTTGCGTTTGTTTTGTTATATATACTTTTATTTGCATTTTATGTTTAAATGGGTAGCTTGGCTTGGTGGTTGTAAACTTTTTGGTATACTAAGGGGTTATGGGTTCAAACCCTCCTTTTGCCATCTTGTTTTAAACAAAAAAAAATTCTTACCACCGGAGCTACTGTTCCGGCCACCGATGGCCGAACCTTCGACCTCCAGTGGCCAGAATAGTATCTCCGGTTAATATTTATTTTTTAATAAAATAAAAAGGGAGGGGCATTTTGTAATCTCATTCTAAATTTTAATTTCAATTTAGTTCTTTGATCCTGCAATGAAATTTCAGAAAATTTTAATCCTGATTGATATAAATTGTCTTATGTGGTTCTTAACTGAAATTTTCCCTTGAAACAAGGTTACAGGGAAGGAGTTTGCTGAAACCATAACACCATTTCTTTGAAGCATCGTGAAGGTGTTGGCTATGAGGGGTTTGGCTTGGTTTGGGTGTTTTCTTTTGATTAAGCTTGACAATCCCTATTGCTGCAACTTTCATAGAGCGAAGATGATTAAGAAGTGCTAGTATTATGTTCAAGACTCGACCAATTTATTTATTGAAAACATCATTACAGATTGCCATTGTCAATACTGTTGAAAAGAAGTTCAAATGTGTAAGCAGCATCATAGCTGATAGGAAGAAAGAAAAGTTATATCTAAAGACTTGAGTTCAACAACATAATTACTCTGTTTTGGTACCACGAAACAGAGGTCAGCGAATTGAGTATCACTTTGTAATTGTTCCTGTTAGAATCAATCACGCTATCAAATTTAAAGTCAGAAAAATATGGTTCCATTTCAATCAGAATAATTCATCAATCACGTGATCCTTGCGAGAGGAGTCGTTATATTACAACATCAAGCCAACCACCTAATAGAATAAAAATATAGCAGCTCAGATTTCTCACCATTTTCTTAGATTTCTTGGAGGCTACCCAATTTGAATGAGAAGACGAGGAATAACAATGAATGTAGAAGAAGATGATGACCAGAGGGAACAAAGAAAATGAGGAGTGTTTATTGAGGGATCGAAGAACATGGGAGAAGATAAAGAAATTTAGAGGTCATTATTCAGTATAAGAAATTTTACAAACGAGAGGCAGAGGTAGCAGTATATTTTTTTATTAATTTATAGTTATGATGGATAAGTCATTGACGCATGGTGCAGCCGTAGAGGCCAGTGGGAGAAGATTCCTAGCTCGCGACATAACCTTTGAGAACACGGCTGGCCATGCGAAGCACCAAGTCGTCGCAGTCCAGGTAGGTGCCGACTTCACCGTCTTCTACCAGTGCGCCTTCCTCCCTCACCAGTTGTCCTCTAGGTCCACCGCAACCGTCAGTTCTTCATCAACCGCCTCCTTGCCGGCACCGTTTACTTCATCTTTGGCAACTCCGCTGCCCTATTCCAAGACTGCGAGAAGAACATGGTCATCGCACAGGGACGGGTTGACCCAGAACCAGAAAACCGGCATCGTGATCCAGAAGTGCCGTATCGGAGCAATGAAGAACCTGGAGGCAAATAAGGAGGACTTCAAGATCTCTCTGTCAGTTGTTTTTTTTTTTTTTCCCCTCAACTCATATTTTCATGTCAGTGGTACTGCCTAGCAGCCAAATATGAAAGTGGAGGGAACACTTGAGAGCGGAGGGAATAACGGCGCGGACGGACAAAACTTTTAAGGACTGATCCAAAAACATCAGGGGCTACCGTTCTTGAACCAAAACTGCCTAAAACTACAAGTACTATAGGTTTCATTTTCCCAAAAAATAAAACGCATTATGGGGAGGTTTCAGATCTGACCGTGAAAACCGTCGTGTGAGGCAAAAGGTTATATTTACGATCTTAAATAATTACATGCTGCCTAAGTCAATTGATTAAGGGCCCACTAGAATCATTACGTTTCTTTCTTTTTTTGGTACGTGGCGTTTTGTGTAGATCCGCAAGTGATTCACGTATTCTCACACAGTCATGCTAATCATTCTTGCCTGAACAAGATCACCATCCACTCATTATATCGGGTTTACTTGTCGCATTTCTTTCGCTTTCCTCCACATACTGCAGGTTCAGATCGATTTTCGAAAGGTGACTATGGCGTCTCTGAAGGTCCCTGCTCAAGTTCCTTCTCCGTCCGAGGATGCTGAGCAATTGCGGAAAGCTTTTGAGGGTACCAAATTCGTTTTAAGATCACCGGACTGAAACGATTAACACTTTTTAGTTTTTGTTTTTGGGACTTGATTTCTCTTATCAGATCATCGATCCGTTGAGTAGTCATATTTTTGTGACCGGTCTGGAATTTCTCCTCATTGTGATCTGATCAATTTACTTTACAATAATGTATAAGATGATTCTGGAGTTTTTCTTAAATCGTAATTTTTATTGTGCATCTGATCACTGTTACTGGTTATCACGTTTGATTATATGTGATCTTGCTGATTGCGCTCGTGATATGTCTGTTCCGTTTATGCATTACGCGGAATTTACCGATGTTTCTGAGGCTTTACTTAAATCGAAATTTTTATTGTGTATTTAATCACTGTTATTGATGTTTGAGTTTGATGATGCGTGATCTTGCTGCTGACGCTCGCGATAAGTTTATTCGGTTTATTCATTACGTGGAATTTGTTTTTGAAGCATTGAGTTGCGTATGCATTTCAGACAACGTATAGTTAACTAAATTCCTGCTCTTACTTTTTCCAAGCACAATATTCCCTTTTGGAGCCTTGCTTTTAAGCATGATTCTGGTCTTTCAAAATTTTCTACCCGTATTCCTAGTATTTTTGCAGTTTTGTTGAATCTGTTGGCGATCAGAGATGTGGTTTTAGCTTACTGCTTTATAGAAGTAGTAGTAGTAATAATAATAATAATAATTCTCTGATTAGAGATTGTGTTTATAATATTAATTTTTCCCCTTTAATTTTGATTTCCATTTATTGCACCTTTCATGAGCGGTGTGGAATTTTCCTTCCGATGAACCAAAGAGAAGGCATATCTGTCCATGTCTTGTGTTACCAGGCTCCGTTGTTTGTGATAACTTGAATAATGTGTTTTCTTATTCTAGGAACTAATTAATCAGTCTCATTCATCTAATGTTACTTACCTGTCAACTATCGCTCGTTGTGAAATATATTTGCAGGGTGGGGAACAAATGAAGATTTGATAATATCTATCCTGGCCCACAGGAATGCATCTCAGCGTAAGTTGATTTCTGAAACGTATGCAGCTACTTATGGAGAAGAGCTTCTTAAATCCTTAGACAAGGAACTTTCAAATGACTTTGAGGTTAGTTTTGAACCTTTCAATGTATTCTATGTTCTATTCTCAATTTAATGGCTATTTTATTTGTCAGAAATTTCAAAGTTAGTGCTTAGGTTTTCCTTCGTCTCAAAGTGTGAAGTATCAGTCCTGCCTAAGAATGACCCTGAGTAAAGAGGAAGGCGCTGTTACGACTCTATTAATGTGTTATGCTGTCTAATGTGATTTGGATTTAACAGCGAATTGTGTTGCTGTGGGCCCTGGGTCCTGCTGAGCGTGATGCATTTTTAGCCAATGAAGCTACTAAGAGGATGACTTCCAACAATTGGGTTCTTATGGAAATTGCCAGCACTAGATCTTCACTTGATCTGTTTAGGGCAAAGCAAGCATATCAAGCCCGTTTTAAGAGATCCCTCGAAGAGGACGTTGCTTATCACACATCTGGGGACTTCCGCAAGGTGTGTTACTCATTGCTCAACTTTTGAAATGCACACTCACTCACGTTGTAATTTTAAGCGGCTATTCGTTTGATTGATGTGATTTATTCAATCAAAATCTTTCAAAATTTACACCCTTTTTGCTTCGAGGAGAACTTACATTACGGTCATTGGTGCCCAAAAAAAAGTGTTAAAGAAAATGGAGCATTCAAATTACAATGACCTTCAAGAGGGTTATTTAATATGGATCTTCTTCTGCACGCATGCCATTTTGTTAGAAAAAGAGGGTGATGCGGAAAGAAAAACAAATGTAAGTAGTTCACTCCCTTATTTCGTCCACTTTTTTATCTGGATTGTGAATTGTTAGGATCGGCATTGGGTGATGACTCTTTGAACATCCATGTGTTTTTGCATTATCATGCTTATCAAGTCGATCAAATTAGCCTTTTCTTTTACTTTCTTTTACTTAGGTCTTTATGCATTTTTATGACAAAACTAACCCCGTGTTTCTCTTGTAACAGCTGTTGGTTCCTCTTGTGAGTACATTCCGTTATGACGGAGAAGAGGTGAACATGACATTGGCAAAATCAGAGGCAAAATTGCTTCACGAGAAGATTGCAGAGAAGGCTTACAATCATGAGGAATTGATCAGGATTATAACGACAAGAAGCAAAGCACAGATAAATGCAACACTCAACCAGTACAACAATGACTTCGGGAATACTATAAACAAGGTATAACTCTCGTGTGTATACACTTGCTTGAAACACTCAATTTTGTAATTCTCTTATCCGTGCTTTCAACTTGCTGGCCGTCAATTGAAGCAATTTGGCCTATGGACATCATCTTGTGGATTAATCTCTTACAATTTACTCAAAAGGACAAATACTTTGGTGTTAGAAATTGTCACTAAACAGTGGTAGGATGATTCAGTCACTTTGAAGTTGAACTGAAAACAAGTCTCCTGGCTACAGGATCTGAAATCCAGTCCGGAAGATGAATATCTGAAACTGTTGAGATCTACAATTAAGTGTTTAACCTTCCCTGAGAAGTATTTTGAGAAAGTTTTGAGGATGGCTATAAACAAGACGGGAACCGACGAATGGGCCCTTACTCGAGTGGTGGCTACTAGAGCTGAGGTTGACATGGAGCGAATCAAAGAGGAATACCAAAGAAGAAATAGCATTCCTCTGGACCAAGCAATATCCAAGGACACTTCTGGAGACTACGAGAAGATGCTTCTTGCATTGATTGGTCATGGTGATAATTGAAAATACTTTATCTGTTCAGTAGTCATAGGACTGCTGGTCAGGTTATAAACCTTCATTCCCATCGTCTGCTAGTGAATTTTCCTGTGGGTGTCCGAACGTTGGTATGACTTGGTGGGTCCTCTCTCTGATGTGCGATGGTCCTGCTAATGGTGTGCTGGCCTCGTGTTTTACTTTTGCTCGTCATCAATCATGGTGGTTTAGGAGATGTTAACTTCGAATAAGCAGACGGCGAAGATACTTATCCCATATTTTAACTGTATGACTCTATATTATCCATCAATCTATTTTATGTAGTCCATGAATACCATCAGGCTAAGAATTAAAATTTAAAACTTAAGCTAACGAGGTTTTTTCTGCCACGGCAACTTAAAAAAAGTGTCGAAAATCCCCAGCCGATTTGTATTGTTTCATGTTCCCATTCACAAGCTAATCTGTGCAAGTATAATAATCCTCTGTTCATATCAGCAAAGGAAATTATTTTCCACAAATTGTTCATATCAGGGGAGGATAGGAAACACTGAAACAGCATTAAAGAGCCACCAACTATATCATGCTTTATCTTCGAAGTCGTAAAAACAGAGTTCTCATAGTCATAAGTGATGAACTGGTCATGGTCACACGTTGTCCGCTCAAGTCAATAACATGAAAGTCCTCATGAGTTTGTAAAAATGCCTACACATCTAAATGTGACTACAACATTATTATCGTTATTTAACTTAAACCAAGGTGATGCTGCTTTCCCCGCCGGGGGGTCTGCGAGCACCACGTAAGCAGTCTCTGGCTTCTGCCTGTCCATCAGCAAATATGTTGCTGCCAGTCATTTCTCTCAGTTTAGCCCTACTCAGAGGCTTTTCTGCTGATCCTGGCGAAGCTTCTACATTGAAAATGTTGTTGCCTGTTAACTCTGCGAACTTCTGGCCATGTATCTTCTTTGATGCCTTAGGTGGTTCCTCGCCAATTAAGATCTTGCTTTGTCCACCCGCAGGCTACACAAAAAGAAGAAGAAGGAAGGAAGGAAGGAAGGAAGAAAACACTCTGGTCAAGATACGGTTGTATGAAAGAAACAGAACTAAGCTGTCAAGCTCGATGCAGTCCAATTGCTTGAGACAGGAATATGGACAAAGCAAGTGAAGTAACAGCATAATTTGAAGCAAACCGATATGCCATAAAAAGACTAAGAAAAAACCTTTTTTTTTTTTTTAATTGTAGCACAGAAGATAAAGCAAAAGACTCGGGAGAAGGAAAGATTGTGATGAAAACCAGTAAACAACAACGAAACTTACGTTGGAAACTTTAACTGATGTGCGCACATTACGAGGAGCTGGTTCTCCCATATCTTTGCTTTCCTTCGATTCCAGAGTGCGTGCAGCAGCCAATGAACGAGGCGTAGTTTCAGCAGGAGCGCCAAATATGTCATGTCCACTGAGTTCCTTGGACTTGGCATTGGATATTTTTTTAGACTTTGCGTCTGATTCGCTTTTCAATGTCCCACTCAGCTCGCGCTGCTTAGCTACCTCAGGTAGTGAGGTAGGCTTCTTTGGTGAAATACTTTCTTCAGTACTGAAAGATATCTGACTAATTCCAGTCATTGCTTGCTGAGATGCAAGGGGAAACATTAGAAAATACTCAACAATTGTATACACAGTTTGATGTTTGAGACATCCACATGGTTTTAATGATATGCTGCACCAAGGAAATCATCCAATATACCTGATACATTCGGATGCCAGTTTTGCTATTCGAAGCAGATTTGGCTTCTGATGTACTGTCTTCAGCACTAGCTGAAAATATGCCACTTCCAGTCATCTCTTTCATCTTATACCCGGAGCATGGTTTTCTGGGAAGAGTAGAAATTTAAAAGGTTAGCACCAAGAATAGATTGAAATGATGTTTCTACGTTCACCACAGGCAATGTGTTCTAGTTTACATAATGATTTTCATCACCAAAAAAAAGTTCAGTATCTCAAATATGCACTCACACTGCACTGAGCATGCACAAGTAAAACACTTCATGGTTCAGGTGTAATGTTTAGCAATGCAATATGAAAGAAAATAACAGTAATCTCAAGGTAGAAACAATTTTTTTTTTTAAAAAAAAAAAGGAATCCCCTACCATCTTGTGTAATCATATTGCTTTTTTAATTTTTATTATTTATTTTTGGGAGTTTTGGGAGTAGAGAGGTAGGTGGAAGGCATAATAGGAATCAAATCCTCGGACATCAGGATCTCTAGGCAAGAATAGTCGAGAGCAGAAATCTATGACCTAACGCTCTTGGGTGAATCAAACTGCTTGGACTCGTGAAGAGAAGTCCTGGACTCGTGAGTGTTAAAGTGCATTGGGCGAATCATCAGCGAATCTTGTCTCGCACTTCGTTTGGTGGGATTTACGAACTTCTATTTGTCGCAGATTCCACCAGCCTATTTAGTATTCTACCCAACCATCTTCAAAACTTTAACTTTACAACTTGAACCCATAAAAGTAAAAGGCGTGAATTTTGAAGCTACAATGTCAACTTAAATATAAATTCTGCACATGATTTGAACCAAAAATGCCAGAATTCTCAGTACTTCACATCATACTTGGTAGTTGGGAACTTCAATTTGTGATCTTAACAGAAGACATTGATAAGCCGTTTATGACGATCGCAAAACAGATCGGCAAAGCTAATGAATTAGCATGCAGTGACCGTCAAACACTAAGCCCAAAAACAAGGAAAAACGGAAACAAAAATAAAATCAGATCAAGGAGCAAACAAACTAAAAAATGAGCTAAAAAAACAGCAGATCTAACCGTCCGTGCATTTCTAACAAGAACGCAGACCCAAATTCTAAGGAAAAAATCGGAAATGTTAAGCACGAGATAATTAGTAACGAATCTTACGTCTTCTCGAGACTCCGTGCTTCATCCTCGGTGACCTGGCCTCCGTGAAGCACCTTGCTGATTTTATCGGACGGCTGTGAATTCAATGATGGAAGATTAAACAACAAAGTCAATATCCGCGTGAGACTGAACCTAAGGCAAAGAATCATAAGTACGGAGTTAAGGGTAACCTGACGAGACCGGAGGCCGGTCACAGTGGCGGAGGAATCTGTCGGAGGAGCTTCCGACCATGTGAGAAGATCTGAAGTGGAAGTGTTTGGCTTCCTCACGGGCGTGCTTCTCTGCATTTTCTTCTCTGGGAGTGAATCTTGCGGCAGTCAGATATTCCTGGGGACTGTAACGACGGAGTGGGCTTCGGGTGGGAGAGATATTATATTGAGAAATGAGAAGATTTGAAAATGTTTGGACTTTTAAACGATGAAGATTTTTTTTTTGGGGTCCCCGGGAGAGAGGGCGAACCGGCGAAAGAAGAAAACTAAAAGGCGATAAAGAGCTTTGAATTTCGTAGGGCAATGAAACAATGTCTGGAGAGAGGGGAGACACCTGGAAACTTAGTGCACATGGCGGACACGTGTCATCTTTTTGGCCGAACGGACACGTGTCATTCGACCATGCATGCTAACTGCTAAGGCTAACAACCACTTCTGGAAAAATACTCTCTCCGTTCCTATGTAAAAACTTTATTTTTAAAAAAATATTTAGTTCAAAATATAAAATTTATTTTTTAATTTATTTAAATATTTATTATTTTTTTACTTATTTCGTTTTTAGTTGACTGTATTTAGTGTTTACTTTCTCTTATTAATATTACCCCATTTATTTTTTTCATTATTTTTTTATTTATTACCTCTCTCATTTACCTTTTTAATAAATAAAAGAAAATTTGGAAAAAAAACATTTCTGACTTATTTATTATTTTTAACTAATTTTAACCGTTAATTCATTAAACGTGATTCTGTTACTAAAGCTTATATATAAAATCCGAGAGAGTATTGCCCGTTGCTTAATACTATCTCTCATCTATAATATTAGAATTAGTTAATACTAAAGTTAGTTAGCTAGTTTAAATAGATTAAAAAATTAATTAAGTTAATTATTTATAATAAATAAGTATTATATCTAAAACATCTTTGTTAATCACATTTATTAGTTAGAATTATTATTTGATGAAACTTTTAGCATATGAAATTTCAACAAGGACTACCTCAGAAAAAATATATAAATATGAGAAATAAAATATATTAAAGTCTTATATTTAAGATCAAATTAAATGTCAAGTTAGTTCTTATATTAAGGATCAAAGATAGTATAAGAGATAATTGATTGATTTAAAAAAATTTAAAAAATAATTAAGTTAGTTACTCATAATAAATAGGTGTTATCCTCTTGAAAATACCCTTACTACTAATATATGTTAGCTAGAACTACTATTATTAGATGAAACTCTTAACATGTGCAACTAATATAACAATTACATTGGGAAAAAATAGATAAATATGATAGACAAAGTAAATTACAGTCTTATATTTAAAGTCAAATAAAATGTCAAACTAGTTTTATATTAAGTAACAAAAGTAAAACTAGGCAAAAAGATGAAATTAGAAAAGGAAAAATAACTTAAAAGAATAACATTTAAATTTAAAAAATGAATCAATGACAGATCTTTTGGGGGGAAAAAGTAAGTTGGAAATGTATGAGAAAAATGAAAAATAATCGCTATACCAGTTCAGAGAGACCAATAGCTAAAAAAAAGACAGAAAGTTAACAAGACAACAATCCAGACCAACTAAACAGATTAAAATTTCAGTTGTAAACTAAAATTCACATTTAAAACTGAAATGCACCATTTACAATTAACTGTTTGTATCTGTAGTAGTCTTCATCAGTATTTATAACTAAATTAAAAGGTTAGCCATCATTATTTGGATTGAATCCTTCTATGGTTTTCTCAAATAACTATTGTTTCCTCTTCTCAACGAAGAAAGTTCAGTTCTTGAATAAATATCTCATTATCTTTCTTTTTTTTAATGAAAACCGAAAAACATAACTCAAAACAAGGAATTACAAGAGTTCAAAAACACATCTTTCATCAACCTTCACTCGTTGACTAAGAAGGGAAAGGTGATCAAAAAGTCAGAAATTTCCTTCTAAACTATGAGAAAGTCCCGCTAACCTAACAGTAACAATCATATCTTCTCTAGGTATATGTGAAAGTATGACCTACTAGTCCCTATTAATTAACAATCTAACATCATCAATATATATCTTTAAAGGTTTGGTCATTGTCACAATCTCTAATGACAAAATTAATTGCAGTTATACAATAATATCTCATTATCTAATCTCAAATAACAAGTAAAATTCAGCTAGGGCAGTCGTAAAAAAATCAATTCTTTAATTACTTCTAATAAAATAATTATACAAGTTGAATTAAAAAAAATAAACCAAAAAAATTCAAGA